GGTGGATCGACTGACTTGACTCACTACTATTCCTAGAGCCATGCGGATAACATGGCTAACAAAATACCATGCCAAATGTTTAGCTTAGTTTTTTATTTGTTTAATCGGAGCTGGATCTCTCTACTGTCTACTTTAGCTGGGAAGATGCTGTGCTGCTGCCTCCCTTCATACAGCTCGGCCCATTAGTCAGGCCACTAATTACACTGCTTACCCACAAAGTCAATCATCAGAGTAAACACCCACCAAGCGCTCTTCCCCCCCCTCTCTCTCTTTCCCTCTCTCATCTAACTACCACCAAGGACGCAGTGACAGTAGGTCTAACCCAGAATAGCATTCCTGAATGTGTATCCATGTATCCACCCACACACACATGCCTAAAAACACACCTCCCCATCTCTGAGGGCCATGAAACATGTCAATACACTGTCCTCTCTCTGAAGCGTTTGAAGTCAAAGCTTCTTAATTCAAACTCGGCTGTCAACATTCAGCGGTGATTTGCATTGTTAAAACGGCTTGCAGTGAGACAGAAAAAAGACACAGGTTCATTGCCCCCCACCCCCACCTCACATCAAGTGGCTATCTGCTTGGCTTTGCGCTGGAGAAACGTGCTGGTAATCTCTCAATGATTCCTGCACTTAGAGGGGAGGGGCTGCCAGGCACCTGTTTCATTAGCACCACACATCTTTCTTTCTCAGTTTTCTCCCCCCGACCCCCTCCACCTCCTCATTCCTCTCTCCTTCCTCCCGCAAGCCTCGTTATTCAAATTTCCCTGCTGTCAGCCCACATTAGCGGAGCGCCACAGTTTGCCTGTCAGCTGGCTTAATTGCTGGAGGTGCCTTCTTTTATTAGGTAACCCCCTCCGCTCGTTTGTTCCTTCCACCGAGACGCACCTCCACAACAGCTTGTGTAAACCTGAGATCCCTTCAGCCTCTTTGCCTTCATTTTCTTCTGCTTCTTTTTCTTTTTTTCCTCCCTCTCTCTCCCACCCATCTAATCGGTGGCTGAGCAAAGCAGGCGAGCTCCTGATCGATAGCCACACTCTCACCGCTGGACAACAGTGGTGATAAAGAGCTAAAAGCATGCTAGGACTGTGGAAGTGGAGGGTTGCTTTATGCTAGCTCTGAGGACAGAGAGGAGAAGGGTTCATCTTCGTCACTCATTCAAAGTACTCTTCCTACGACAGTCCCTGTCTCATACCTGACCCTATATATCATCACTTCCTTGAAATGATAAGAAGAGATACACAGATGATGATTTAGGCCATGCTCACATTTTTCCTCACTTCCATAATGAATTTAATTTCTTGATTTTATTAAATGGACCCCAAATTCCCCCAAGGTCTAGCTTCACTGTACGCATTCAAATCAGTGAGCGAATCTTTACATTAACATTACCGCCCTATCTAGAGCCAGTGTTTGGTTTGTCCGTTCTGGGCTACTTTAGAAACATAGTGGTTAGAAAAATGTCTCATTCTAAGGTAACAAAAATATACAGATTCTTATTTTCAGGTGATTATACACTAATCAAAACATACCTATGAATATTATATTCAATTTCTGCCAATAGATCCTCCTAAATGTTACATACTGGTCTTTTAGGATCGTTGACACCCAAATACTGATCTTTAAAAAATAAAAAATAAAAAAATAAATCCATATATGGCCAATAGATGTTGTGGCAATGATGAGTACAGTGATGCCTACATGGTCTGACATAAAGCCACCAAGTATTACTTGCACTTGAAAATCATTTAAAAACATGAACAATGGCATCATAAAAGCACACATAACATTCAGTTTGTAATATGCTATTGACACTAAACCATTATATAGCAAAGAAAGGGTGTAAAGTGTTTTAGTGTGCCTGCCAACAGGTTCATTTTATAAAGAAATTCACAAGAAAGAAATTCTGACTTTGGAATTAACTCAACTAAATTTGTACAGTTTAAATCCACAGGGACCGTGCTAGATGAAATTAAGTTTTCAATATGGTCCATTGGGACATGCAAGAGCAACAGTTGGTCATACACAAATCCAGATTAACTGTTTTCTAATCCAACATATTTGGAACGAAAGATTGAGGCAAACACATCCAAACGGGCTTCAGTGTTTGACAACAACTATAGTACGTACATATAGTAGCTAAAATGTTGAACCAGGAAATAGCTCTGAAAAATCGAATGGACAGTCTGGGTAGCAACCAATTTTGGGGTTTACAGAACAGATACGACAAACATGATGACGTGTTAAAAACTTGTGTGATCACTGTTTGCTAATAGATTAGGAAACGTTATCAAGATGGGTATGAACAATGGCCTAAACTACAAATATTTAACCCAAGTTCACCCACAATATTCATCTCTTAAAAAACCCTTCCCCTAGGCCGGGGTATTGTTTAGGATAAAATGGTTGGTTGAGGACTGTTGGTGATATTAAGACCAATCTCCTACAGATCAGGTCTACTTTGGCAACAGGAAGATCTTTAAAACTTCTTTCCCCCAACAGAAGATTTTTAGATACTAGTGAGGAACAGCAAACCTGCTTATGCTTCCATTTTGTCTTTCTAAATGTATTCAGTTTATGTCTTAGTTGTGTGTTATTTCAAGTGGATCATGCATGTATATGTTAACATAGTTAGTATCATTACAGGCCAACAGAACAAATTGTTAGTTTCTGGTTTGAATACAATTGTACATTGTGCTTTGATGTTTTGCTTTCTTCTTCTTTATCCATTTCTGTCTGTGTCTACAGTGCAGCCGTGTATGTTTCTCTCACTGTGGCAGATTTTAAAGAACATTAAGGATTTAAGACAGCCAGCCATGCCTGCCACGTCCCATATACTTCTCAGCTAGTCTACTGTAGTTGGCAAAAATCCCAAAATGATGCGGGCACATCGAGGGCCAGAAGCATTTTACATCTGTAGACAAATATTTTTTATCTCAGGTGAGGAGAAGTTCAGTTTAGGTATGCACTGCATTTAGTCAGGTCTTACTAAATGTGCAAGATGTGTAATTACAAACACTGAATACCATTTAATGTTTGCCTGTTGCACTTTACACCATAGACAGTAAGCCTTATGAATCTGGGTGTGCTCTTTAAAAGGTTGAAACAGTTTAGCACAGAAAAAAAAAAAAAAAGATTACCAAGTTCATATGAACAATGCTGAAAGAAGATCTGTTGTAAGACGCTATAAACATGCAGGTTAAATTACATGCTAGAAGCCAAGAACTCTCTTGTTCAGGATATGAAAATGCACCCAATTCTTAATTATTGCTTGATAAAAACACAACTATATGTCTGTTAACATGGGTCACATGTTTATGTAATATATGGGTCACATCCTTCACAGCAGACCAGTAGCCAGTGATGACAGGTTACTGCCAGCCTAGCATTTCAGAGATTAAACAGTTTGCCGGGTTGAGTGGCCCTTCACTCCGAGGTGCAAACAACAGCTCCCGATGGCTCAAGACTTTCTGAGGACGGGTGTCTCACATGGAGCTGTTGAGCTCTGCGGAGGGTTGAAATGAAACGGGGGCCGCTGGCCTAAACATTCCACTCAGACCCGCCGCAGTCTGCTCCTCTCACCCTGGGACGCCTGCCCATACATTAAGATGTGGTTTGGAGCTCTCACAGGAACACAGCGAGGAGAGGCTGGATGAGAGGGATTGGGTTTACAGTGCAAACCACAGACCCACAGTCTGCCTCTTGCCCTGCCTTCCTGCAGTCAGCTATACTACATACACAGCTGCTGGTGTGTGATGTTTGTGTATGTGCTGTATGTTAGTGGGAACTCACAAGATCCCTGTATCACTAAAAGAAAGAATAGGCTGAAATAAAAGTTACAATGCATGATGGTAGTGCAATTTAAGCATTATGCAAACACACAACTCTGCATAAATGAATAAGTGAGAAGAATTGATTAAAGTGGCATACACACACACACACACACACACACTCACATGAAGTTATACTTCACAGTGTGCTTAATCTGGTTTCAATGTATGGGACATGAATGTCAAAACACTGTCAGGGGTGGGGTGCAGGGTGGCATGGCTGAGGGATGCAGATGAGGGTTAGGCAAATGAGCAGGTCTTAATTGATACTTCACACAGCTGGAGGACCAGTGTTTATGTATTTCAGTCTGCTCAAAAGCTCTCCACCTAACTCGACTAAAACAAATTAAAGCCATGCAGCATGAATATCGCTCCTAACCTCGCACGGATCTGTCTCCAACACAGACAGCATCCCAATTTCTTTTTCATTTTTACAGACACATTACAATTATATTAGACTTTTGCAAAGGGACAGCTTCTAGTTTTCACTCAATAAAATCTGTAAACCAGGGACATGAACCATCCCCTGATATGAATAAAATGAGATATAAAGCAAAAAAAAGCTGATGATTTCTTTTTTGAAAATGAGTGGCACTTGAGAAGGGCAGACCATTGAGTGAAGGTGTCAACAAGCCAAAGCTGACTCACCCCCTGCCCCCCTCTCACAGCCCATGAGGAAAGGGACAAACAAACACACACTTCATCATCTGGGTCAACTCCACAATAGTGTGGAAATAGAAGGAGGCTCCATGTTTCTAAACTGGTGGTGGTGGTAGCCACCAAGGACATGAGATTCACACACAAAGACACTCGGCAAAGTTGGACGTTGGGCTTTGCCTCACTAAACCCCTACTGACAGCAATCTGCCTGACCTTCATGAGACAAAGATTACACAGGGCGTTAATACAAAGACAAACAAGATGTTATGTTATATGTAACAGCACATATAGGATCATATTTCCCCCACAAAGGAGTCCCCGGAAATACACATTAAGGATGACAAAGACAAACAATTTTGGCTTGCACTTTCTTATTGAGGCTCAATACGGTTTAAAAATCAACCTGCCGCGTATCACACACACGTTGTATTTGATGGAGGTTCCGGATATAAGACAATAACCTCGCTAAAGCCGCTGTAGACGGTTACATAGTAGCGTAGCCTACTTACCGGTGGTCGGTTTTGAGGAAACATTGTAGCCGCCGACTTGTGTGTGTGTCTCCGTGTGCGTTGTTTTTTGTCCTTCTTCTTTCTACCTTTTGGGGCGGAAAGCTTCGTCGAGAAATACGAGCAGCCGATGTACTATTGTTGGTCTCAGAGAGGCATTTGGCCCGGTTTCAAAGGTAAAGGCAGAGCTAGTCTCGGCTCGCTCATTCCTCGCTTCAAGACTCCTTTGTTCTGGGTTATATCTCCAACCCCGAAACCGCACCGCACTCGTCGTGTAGTAAGGACGGGGGAGAGGAGAGGAGAAACACCCGGGTCCAAGCTTTTTCTTCCAAGTCCTCCAACTTCGCGCTTCCAGCAGAATTACAATCTCGCAATTGGTTTCCCTCTCCGATATCTCTTCGCCGTCTGTAGCATAAAGGCCAGAGAGGGGAGAGGGGGGGGTAATGTGGTTTTGCTTGTGGCTTCGGAGACGGACACACCACCGGCACATTCAATGCAGCCGCAGCCTCTTTTGTCTCGCTCGTTGGCCTGCACTCTTTTCACACAACACTCCCAGTCCCTCACTTCTCTCACTCCCCCCTGCTCTGATCCTCAATGGGACATAACATATGAGTAGCTTTCTTTAAGGAGAAGGGGGGGCTAAAGACACGGTTTACTGCTTCTTCTCCCCTCCACAGTTTTTGTTTGATCAGAATTAATAACCTCATGATTATTTGCTAATGTCCTTTTTTTTTTTTTTTTTTTACCTAAAGAAACATTTAATCCAACCAACCTTTCTTAGTTATGGACACTGTGCATATCTGAGCATTGAGCATATCACACAATGCTGATCTTCAAATAGCCTGATGATATAGTTTTTTCCCTCTTGTTATTGTTGCACTGTAATTAGCCTCATCCTCATATTGGCATGTAATTGAAAATCTATCCACACAATTAGGACATTTAAATTTTATTTAAAAAGTGCAACATATTCTTTATAAAGAAAAAAGGGGTTCAGAGGAAGTGTTCAGTGATTGAATGAAATCTCCACGTGGGGCTCGGCCTCGGCACAGTAAACACTGGTGAAATGAGCCAATCACTATCGAGAACACCCACGTGGGGCGTGCTGACCGTTCGCTGATTGGAGGGTACAGGTAGCACAATGCTCCGCACGTCAATCAAGCAGGCTACAACTGCTTGGTGAGGTTAACCCCTTCCTGGGCAGAAGGAGTGATTGAGAATGCGAGGAGTTGTGTGGTGGCTGTATCAAGATTCAGTGGTTTTCCTTTTGCTCCCCACAAAACCGTCAGTGCATTGAAAAATCTTACATTTCCCCCATTTCGTCCTTGTTGATGTGGAAATAAATAGACTCTGTTCTAACTTTTGCACCATCCTGCTCATTTCAAGATGTCAAAAAATTAATCATGACCACAGGGAACTGACCAAACATGAAAAGACTAAATAGAGCCAAAGAAGGCTCCAGAACCCACAGAAATACAATGGTGATAATGCTGCAACGCTTGCATGGCTATATATTGAATGTGCGCTTTGTTGTTACCTGGGAAAAAAAGGGGGAATTATTCTGGAGACGAAGAGAGAAATGGTGGAAAAATTGGTATTCTGGTGGCACGACCCCTTTGGCGGGGCTCATAATTAGAGAGAGAGATATTGAAAAAGCAATTTCTGACAGTGGAAATCACAACCTGCCAGAGGTGGAGTTGGAAAATATAGATGGGTGTGCGTGTGTTTGTGTGAGAGTGTGTATGTGTGTGTGTGTGAGAAAGAGACAGAGAGAGGAAAGGCAGAGGGAGGGAGGGAGGGAGGGAAGGAGGAGGAAGAGAATAAAGGATGAAGGACAGCAGGGGGGATGCTGAGAAAGACGGGCCAGTAGGAGGGTTAGAGATTGAACGAGAGGGAGAGTGCACACGGGTGATGAAAAAAAAAAAAAAGTGTGTATGTGTGTGCCCGCCTCGTGCACGCATATGTGTGTGTGTGTGTGTGTGAGTGTGTTGAGCAGGCAAGTGAGGGAATGAAAAAGAGAGAAGGGCGAGGGGTGTAAGTGGGGAGAGGTGGAGAGGGAAGGAGAGAAAGAGAGGAAGAGAGAGAGAAAGAAAGATTTTATTGCCATTTTTTCCCATGAATTTTAATGCACAGCACTGGTCTCCCTCCCGGATTCTGGGATCACATTTATTAGAAAAAAAAAATCATGAGGAATGCAGTGCTTTGCAGTCTGCTGCTGCGCAGGGCGATGTTTGGTGTGTGTGAGTGTTTTTTTCTGGGGGGGGTTGTGCTTGCTGGGCTGGGCGGTGTGGTGGAGGTGAGGGGGGGTTGCACAGGATGTATGAGGGTGCGTTACGTTGTGCTGGGGGGGGCATAATAATATAGATGATAGAAAATGATAAGTGAAGGACACATATTATTGCTATTGGCAGGTCAGATGAAGGAGCCTGCTAGGTGTGTGTGCATGTTTGCGTGGGTGTGTTGGCTGAGCTCCAGTGATTAAATACCCTACAGTGCCCTTCTCTCCTCCACAGAGGCTCAGAGCAACGGGACATCAAAGTGGCCCCACAATGGGACGGGATACAATGGTCGTAACGCTACAGGAGCTTTTGGTTTTAGCTCAGTCATGTGAGGTTGTAAAGACACAATTCTGTCAAACGTATGTATGCTGAGTGCAACTAAACACCTACACCCACACACACACCTGTCTCTGAGGGAAAAACAGTGGAAAGTGCCTAAGGGATCCGCTGCATCTCTTTATAACCACAACTTACGCCAAGGAAGAAAAACAGCAGTGCCAAACCAACAGTTATCTATTCAGCGGGCAAATTATCACCAAGCAGCAAAACATCAGGAGGGAGTGGTTTTTGAACAAGGTGATGAAAACAAGTTTGTTTCCCATGAAACTTCAGAGACAATTTCATTCCTTTGTGGTTGCCAACAGCAATATCAATGTCAAGCTGAGACTATGATATTAGCACTATATGATATGGCCCGATAACGCTGGGCAAGGCCTACCTGACAGACATCTGGTCAGAAAGATGAACTATTGTGTCTTTTCTTTTGTTCATTGGAAGTCAGCAGGATCAGTTTGGATCAATAAGCTTCACTTGTCAGGTGCTTGCTGGATTTTATACAAAAATCCTTCAAAAACAAAACTATGAGGTGCAGGAACTCTCTAAAAATGAAGCTCAGAAAGGAAAAACACACTCAAACAGCAGCAGAATGGGCAGTATGGCTGGTGTACCGTGCATTTATTTGCACCTTCTTGTTGTTTGGTGTGTTGGTGTTTTTTTATTTATTCTCAAGTCACTTAAGTATATTTCCACTAGAGCTACTTGTACAATTGATTTCTGAACAATGTTCAGCTATGTAAAACATCAACGGTAAACATCAGGACTTGACATAGTCCTTCAGAATCAAAGAGCGAGGCCTTGTTTCTAGACCTACAATTTTACAACAATCATACTGGTGGGAGACCATCATGGACACAGCAGGGACACCATTTTCTCCAAAAGCAGTAAAGCCTCTACAGACCAGAATGCACTGGAGTCACAAGACAAGCTGTATTTTGAAGGCTGCCACTTTTTTCTTGACATGGAAAAGCCCCTGTTCCATTATTTTCATTTCATTCTCCATTATTCTCACCATGCACAGTGGGTCATACATGTATGTGAATGCAACTAATTAATTCCCCTTTAAATATGATCTCCAATCAGTCAAATACATTACTTAAAGGTCCAGTATGTAACATTTAAGAGGATCTATTGGCAGAAATGGAATATAATATTCACAGGTATGTTTTCATTAGCGTATAATCACTTAAAAATAAGAATCGTTGGGGTTTTGTTACCTTAAAATTAGCTGTTTTCAAACAACAGAGTCCGCAGATTGCCTTCGGTGGTTGCAAACTGGTTGTACATATGATTGTTGTGTCTTTTGTGGCCACCGTACATAGTTTCTCCCTCACGCTTGGAAAAGGAAAGTGAGTTGCGAGATGCCTCTAAATCCTACACACTGGTCCTTTAAAATGAACATTTAATTTAAATCTAAGCCCCAGAATATGACCTCTGACCATGGAGGCAAGTTAAAGAGTGGATTTTTCCTTCAGTTCAACTCAACAGCAGACAGAGCTCCTCTATAAAAAAAACAGCACCCCGTGGGAAAAGGGATGATACTGGAGGAAGGTGCTTTAATTCAGCTCATAAACTTTTGGTTTTGTGGTGTCCCTATTTGCTCCCCACCCTTCCCAGCCCCACCTACTCTGCCCTGTTTCCCCAGTGCCTTTGGGATGGGGTTTAGAACGGCTCCTCTCCAGCGTGAGCTTGAGTGACAGTAAGACAAGGCCACAGTGTTGTCGTGTAGCCCCCACCCCCACCTCACGTTGCCCCCACCCCTTCCCTGTCCCTCATCAGACAAGCTGGGTGTCAGCGCAGAGACGGCATGGTGATTTATTGGTCTCTACTCCTCTGGGGCACCAATTCCCCACTCTCAACCCCCTCCCTTTTCCTCACACTCCCACCACCCCCCTCCATTTTTCCCATCCCCCCCTCTGCCCCCAATCCCCCACACCCCTCCATCCATCCCCTCCCCTTCTGTCCTCTCCTGCTGCATGGCCCCTGGGGGAAAGAAGGGGTAATGACCCACATCAGCAGCAGCTATGCTCACATGCACACACAGACAGAGACACACACACACACACACACACACACACACACACACACACACACACACACACACACACACACACACCCTCCTCTGCTCCTTGCAGGCAGATACAAATAAATACCCTCTGTGACACACATACACACACGTTCGCACACATAAAACAGACGCTGACACATTTACGCCCACAGGCATGTGTATCTGGGAATTCCAGTGCTGTGCTCTAACGTAAAGTCTCCCCCAGTCTTTGGACCACATAACACAACACTGAAGAGATCAATATTACACCATCTTCTTCCTTGGTATTTGCTAAATAGTTCTTTCTTTCTGTAAATAGGACACTGTTTTCATCGTGTTGTAACCTTGGGAAGAGGGAATGTACACCTCTCCTTTTCACTGGCATTCTTTTTCAAAATCAGAACAATGGGATGATTTGTGTCTCTCTGCAGTGAAGTGGAATAAGATCTCTGTTTGACTTTCCAAAAATCTGCGACTGCACCAGCTTGCACAATTTGGCCATGGAATCCTAAATTGTACTGCACACTCACAGATGTAATGATGAAGCAAGAGGACATTTAGAAAACAGAGTTTCCTCATGGTGTCTTGTTGCCAAAGGATAACTTCACATGTGCAAGTGGAATTCAGAGACGAGGTCAATGCAATGGTTCATACACTCACATTCTGTTGCTTTTTAGGGCGGAGTGAGATAAGAGCATCTTCTCAGAGGCTGATTTTGAATTCAGGCAGCCGATCCACACTGAAGGGAGAGTGAAGAGGTTAAATCTGAGCATTGACTTGCAAATGCTACTGAAAGCACTCTGAGTGTGCTGTCACTCATCTCTCACACAGCAGAGAGATGCTCTCTGGCTAAAAGTATGCAGTTACTGCCACAGGTTTCCACTTTACATGAGTGTTGGCAA